CGCCTTGTATAAAAAATTTATAATTTCGCCATCACAGGTCGCGTCAATTAAGGTCAATTGTATTCCGTGTCAAAAGAAAACGCGTTTATTTGTTCGCGTTTGGAAATAAAACGAAACACTTTTGATGAAACAAGCCGCGCGCGCTTCTCACGCGTGCTTCTGACGTGCAAACATCAGGTCAGCGCGCGGCGTCACTGTAGCGTGACATCGCCGCCGGCGTATTTCGTGAAACCGGAAGCCACTCCCGTACATACGCGTCAAGGACGTTCTTATCATGCGCCCCGGTCGACCGGCATTAAGTCGAGCAGGTGAGAAAGCGCGTGAGAAGCGGGATGAAAACCGAGACGAGAGACGCGCGCGGTTCCTCACCTGTCGCGCGTGGCTTTCTAACGAATATGCGCCCACCGCCAATTTTCGTCCGTTCCTCGTGTCTACGTAGTCTTCGTCGTCGGCTGCTGCGGCAACGGCGGCGACGGCGACGAGGTGAGACAAATGCCGCGCGAGTAGTCGAGTACAATGAGTTACCCGAAGCTGCACTCCGGCCACAAATACGCTGAATATGCATGAGACTCCCTCGGCTGTCTCCGCTACCGTTACGTACGTACTCGAATTAGATTTCGCGTAGGTTCTTCGAGTCCTGCTCGCAGTCACTTCTCGCAGATACTCCAGGCGCACCTCTCCAGTCACTTCCCGCGCCTCTCTCTCTTTCTCCTTTATCTCATTTATTCCCTTTGTCACAGTCTCTGTCTCTCGTTCTCCTCTTTCTCGAGGAAACTGTGCCCTGTCGAGCATCGACGAAGTTGCTTTTCCACACGTTCGAACGAACGAACGAACGAACGTACGAACAAACGAACGAACGAACGAATGAACGAACCACAGACCACAGAGTGTCGATGAATTACCAGGAAAATTAGGACACGCGTCGCGATTGAATGAAGTCAACAGTGCAGATGGTACTATCTCGGAATGATTGCGTATCGTCTATATAACCGGCGGAACTTGTAATCGCGAAATATTTCTGAATAAATATATCTCAGAGTAATATTTTACGAAATGAATATTCGCCCCATTATTCATTTTATATATAATAAATTCTTATGTGATTTTCTATTATCTCTGTGGAATTTTTATTTCCAAATAATTTAGAATTTTTTTTTAATATTTTTTCCGACGGTAATTATGTATATTTTATATTTCGGTGGGAAGAGAGAAAGAGAGAGAGAAAAAGTTTAGAACTTTAATTTCCCTTAACGTGCGAACACGAGAGAGAGTCATTACGGAATTCGTGAACGCGATTACTATTCTGAAGCGCACAACGTCCCAACCCGAGCGCTCGCATAAGATACGATGATAATCTCCCGTTTCCTCTTGCGCGCGGCGGTGATATTTTTTATCAAAAAATGGCGTCTCGTCTGAGAGCCTTGTTTTAATAAAAATATTCAGCTATTTAAAACGCGCATTAAATAATAATAGACGCATTTAAATAGTTGCTGTGCTTTTAAAAGAATTAAATATTTTTCGCAATGTTTTTTAATAAACGGACGCGTTCCACGTGGAGATTTGTGCGCATTAAGACGCGCAGCTGCAAAAGAAAATATAATCAAAAATATTCTCAATAATGCAAGCACTTGGTAAATATTTGAGAATTTAACGCAACGTAAATGAATTATAAAAAAATTATTTGAATAGATTTTTTTTTAACTCTTCCTTCTATTCGATTAAAAATTAAATAATCAGAGAAAAATAGTATAATTTTAATCAGAGAAAAATAGTATAAGTTTAATTGTAAGTAACGATGTTTCTTAAAAGTCCTAGAATATTAATTACTGGCCGATGTAGTAATGGCGTTGTAGCTCATCAGCCGTGACACGCAAATACCGTGATCGGTAAAACAGCTTTTAACCCGTATGCATTTTTCAAACTTAAAAATGGCCATTTGGCCGCTCTTTTCTTGCGTCCCCGTCGTTCTCATCCAATGTCCATCGCGAGCTGCCTATTTTCGTATCGGAAAAACCGAAAAAAAACTTTTTTTTATGACCTATCCTTTATACTTTACACGGACGCAAACGAGCCGTTATATAACCGGATTTATACACGTGGCAGAACCGAAATGATATACGCGGTCGCATGGGCAGGAAAGATTTCCGCCCTCTCGCGTTTGAATCCCTCCTTGTACTGACACGCGGCAAAAAACTGTCCGGCTCGTTGCATGCCGCAGTACGTTCCGTCGTGTGTGCGTTACGTTGCTCGTTGTTATTTTTATTCTTTAATGGGATTAACACACAAAAAACCACGTTGCGAAAGAGGAAATGGAAACTGCTCTGGCGTGATCCAACAATAAGCCGTTTTCTATGCAGGTTTATTCTAACAATGAGAAATTACGCTACAACTTAGCGTCCTGAATTTCCAGGACTATAAGCTAAACTTTGTAATATTAATTCAGTTGATTCGCAAACAAATAAATATTGTTTCCCATCTAACGCGAGTTGTATATCGAAGCATTTCGCTCGAACAATGAGATCCTCGTTTGAATACGCATTTAAAATTCAAAAGCCCCCTCCTTGCTCCCCTTTTGCTTTCGGTCGATGAACATAATATACGAGACATTGGACGGAAAAGTCGCGTTTTTTTTTTTTTTTTTTTTGATATTTGATACAAAGAGATTTTGCGCAAACTTTCCCGGGGTATTTGTAATTCCTCTCCGTGGGATCTGGTTCCGTGGGTGCTCTTTCGGGAAAATCTGCACCCTTTACCAAAATCTATTTCCTGCATGGTCTACGGATCGAACGTCTATTGGCCTCATGCATAGGCTACATATCCCGAAAGCCCCTATATAAACGCAAATATTTACATAGAAAGAGGGTATAGTGCGCTGAAGTATATACGCACGTGAAATTCACGTCCCTTTCACACACAAATTTGCCATAATTTCTCCTTTCGTGTTTGCGATAAAAAAAATCAATTTTTTTTTTTGGATAATCCCTTTCAAAGTTACATTTTGTTTGTTTGGTTTTTTTAGTTTTTTTAGTTTTTTTTAATAACACACGCTTTTACGTAAAAGCTAAATACATAATGCTCTTCACTCTAGATCGTGAGTTACCTTTGAGCGAAAGTACAGTTCGCCGAACTGTCGAAAGGAAGAAAGCGTGCAAAGCTTTCGCGATTTTCGCGTGATGTCGAGAGTCTCGCGTCGCGGGGGTATAACGGTGTCGCGTCTCACGTTGTTCCCAAGTCTCATCGCAAGACGGATTACACATTCGCGTGTCTCATTAATGAGTTTCGTTACGTATGCGCAGCTCCGCGCATCAAACATCAAGCAGAAAAAGAGAACTTCACTAAGTTTAAAGAGGTACAAATAAACTTTATAAGTGGGAAACTTAATTAAAATGACAAAGAGACATTGATTAATTCGAGGAGGATGTTCGCGGGAGAGGAATTTCAAAACTCTCTTAAATTCGTTCAACTGTGTGTGTGAACTGTCTTCCTTAATAAAGTTACGCGAGCGTAATTCCAAGGAGTTTCTGTATGAAAACGGAAGCGCAAAATATTTTAGAGAGTTTCGGCGTGTGTGTGTGTGTGTGTGTGTCTCGAGAGGAGAGAGGGAGAGAAACACACGTTCACCCTCTCGTCGCGATAACATATATATCCGGTTACAGACACATCTAGCGAGAATTATTGGAATTAGACATCGCCGATATTGATCACGCGCTCCTTTCTGCCCGTGACGTAAACATTTTTCTATTTTGACGATACCGCGGCGGAAAATATCGCGAAAACGAACGCGTAAACCGTACACCGCTATCGGGAATTTACGACGGTGATAACACCGAGGCGCAACTATCAATCGTCCCTTGCCATGTTCCGCGACCTTTGACAGTCTCCGCAATTTTTATCCCGCGTATCTTCGCGCGATGGGTCGCACTAAAAAAAATCCTCTCCCATACGCTCTCGATGCGCCAGCAATATGTTGTATATGCACTTCGATGCCACGTCTTCCTCTCTTAGAGTATGGTAGTCTACAGCGCGTATATTTCCGCGACCCGTCGAACACAACGACGAAACTTGCGACGACCGCAATTGCGTCGCAATTCCGCGCAAAGTATCGACGGAACTTAATTTCGGAGCAGAGACACCACGTTTAGATAAAATGCGTTTGGCGGAGTCAGTAGTTCGCGCGATATTTCCAGACGAAAAAGATCTCTTTCCTTTCCCCTCCAAAAGAAAAAGATTAAACGCTCGACACACTTTGCACACGTTTATTTTCACAGAAAATATACATACACGGCGAATTTGTACGCTGGATGACACGGTATTTTCACGTCTCGTTTGAGAGAGAGCGCGTGTTTCTACCTACGCGTATCGAGAACTACTAGTGCTCCAATATTGACACGCCAGTATTGCACGGCGTCCTTGACATCGACGGCGTCCTTCATTCCGCTCATATTGTTTATAAGCGAGAAAATGGAGCAGTTTCTTAATATAAAATTCTTTTCTCGTCTTTTTTTTTTTTTTAAACAATTATTATATTCACCGGCGATGTATTTTCACAACGTTGCATTGTCGCTCTCAACATCATTATTCTCTCAAATCTCTAACGCCGATCAAGGGTATCGACATTGATATACGTAAAAATTAAATTCCTTAACACAACGCTACAAAAAAAAAAAAAATTACTGTGATTTTTTTCCAACAATTAAGCGCGTGCAATTAACGCGCTGAAGTGTAACTGCGTTCACATGCGGCGCAATGCTGCTGCTCCATTTTGCTAATCGCGCGCTCTTAAACGTGGTGCGTACACCACCTGGTGCTCCGTAATCGCCTTAAAATCCAAAATCCGTACGTCGACAAACCGTTTCGTACGCAATAAATTGAAATTCCGCGACACACGGTGCTGGGCATTTAAACCGACTGTCAAACTACGTCGTTTACGAGATTTTCGCAATCGCGCAGCTGATCGCGCGTAACAAGAAGCCACAAAACAAATAAGTTCTGTTACTCACCCTCAGAAGTTTCCTTCGGAGTTCGATCGGAGTTCACTGTTGCAAGACAATGCGTCAGGCCGGTTAAAAAATCCTCAAAAATTAACAAAACGACACTGAGCAAACGAGGATTCACGGAACACAAAGAGCTCGCTCGCGCACAAAACGCAACCGCAACACGCAAAACGGTCGTTCGCCGGTAAGAAGGAAGGAAGGAATGCGAGACGCGCGTGACAGCCGCGCGTAGGAAACAACTCGCTTTAAAAGGCGAGCTTGTCTTCTCCCGCGCTTGCTACAAGGTCAATCGAGAGTCAGCCGGGAACGGCGAGCGACGATTTTTATTTCTTCGAAAATACACGCGAAACGTCAAAGGAAAAACGTTAAAGGAAACGAGGGTAAAATAGATGAAATAAGAATGAGAGAGTGAGAGAGAGAGAGAAAGACAGAGAGAGAGAGAGAGAGAGAGAGAAACGGGACGGTGAGTTTACACGCGTACGAGGAGCTTCGAGAATAGCGACGCGACGACGGACGAAGCACTTTCCCGTACGAGGTTCTGCCGGGTACTGGGGGTAGCGCGAGGTCGCGCTATCGAACGCACCTTCGCGCGCCGTCCAATCGGCGCTGCTGGCGCGCGCGGTCGACGAATCACCGGTCGCACCAGCGGCATCGTCATAACGCCGCGGAAGCGCGCCACCGCGATCAAAAAAGTGCGTCGTGTCCGGCGTGTTTATCCGTTGAGTGTATTTTTAATATTCACATTGAGCGCAAAGTGGGGGAAGGACGAGCAGGTTTTCTCCTTTCCGACCGCGTATAGTTGTAAAGTGAAATAAAATATGTACACGCAAAATATATATATACATACATATACCGAAGTTCCCCCTTTTCAGATGCGTAACTTTATCAAGTGAATTGAGTAAGTATCTTCGTAAAGTGAATTAAGTGCGTATTCTCGTAAAGTGAATTGACACACACACACTCATGCATTTCAGAGAATTTCAGCGAATTAAATTGTCATAAAGCTTCAGAAGATGTAAAAAACATTTTTAATTAAGTACCACACGTGACGTTTCTACGTTATTCTACAGTAGACAATACATATGCGAATGTGTTTGAGATGATGTAATTCACTTAAGTATTTCATTCATATATAAAATCCTATCTGCGCTCTGTTGTTCGTTGATCTGCACTGAAAAGGAAAAAAACAATCTCTAAACAAAAACATTCTGTTTTATTCGAGAAAATTATTTATTCGTTTGATACTAAGACGTACTTGAAACGTTTATTTTCTCAATTTAAATATTTGACAAGCTTGAGAGAATAATTTTTAATAATTTTTATATATTAATGTTATAATGTGTTTATTTTATATTTTAAATTTAAAATATAAAGTACTATTCTAGAAAAAACTTAAAGTTTTTAGGTAAAAAACCAATATACTTCAATTGATAAATATTATAATATTAATTGAAAGCAGAGTAATGAAACGTAAAAAATGTTTTAGAGATATAAAATGACGCACTTGATGTGTAATATGCGAATTCATTAAAAAATTAAATACGTTTATTTAAATAAGATAAACAATTTCTTCTATAAAAAGCAAGAAAGAGCGAAGAGAGAGAGAGAGAGAGAGAGAGAGAGAGAGAGAGAAGAGCGAAGAGAGTATCATATCAAAAATATAATTTACTTGATTTGAGATAACCTTTCCCCTAGTGAGGAAAAATGTAATCGATGCAAGAACTGCGGAGTTCTTGTGTCAATTACATTTTTCCTCACTAGGGGAAAGATTATCTCAAATAGGAGATTTCTCTTATATACAGATATATATTAATATCAATAAGAGATTTCTTTTAGTATAAACAGATATGTATTTTTATTCTCCTGCCAGTCTGCGTCATTAATCATTCCACTTGCTGTCATCAATTACTTACGATCCGTGGATTCACTTGTCGAGGTAGCGGAATCGAACACGCGATAGCTTGCGACGGACTAACAGATACGTGATGTGCTCTCTCTCTCTCTCTCTCTCTCTCTCGGACACACACACATACAATATTCAAGACGAGATTGCTTTAACGCGTATTAACGCTTCTAATTTATGCGGGTCCATTGGCTGTACGAGATCGCTCAGACCGTACTCGGCCATCCTGCTGAGCATCGCGGTCAGCCTCTCCTCGCAAACAGCTCAGCACGTCGCTATGATCATGTTGATCAAGAGAGACTCAAAGGGATAGGAAACACCTAGAAACCCTCAAGACCCATCAATTATGGTATTGTCTTGGCAGCCTAATTAAAGTCACCGTTGATTCACCGAAAATGCACTGCTGCTATACACATACGGATTCTGTAAATATGTAGTTTAAAGTACTTCTTTCCTGAACATACCGTAAATATTTGAAGTTAGTGCGTTTGAGCGAGAAAAAACGTTGCAAAAAATAGTATTCAGAAAGGACAGGTTTTTATACGCTCTGGAGAGACGCAGTTTGAACGCGTTAATTCAACGAATGTGTCGAATATCATGTTCGGAGAAACAATATGCAGAGTAACCTGTACATTTATTGGTCCCTGGGCAGATATTGGCTACGCTGCTGTTTTCGCGAACAGAACATTCCGCGCTAAATAACGTTCGCGCAAACAAGTTGGCAAATGAGTCCTTTTCATCATCGAGTGTGTGCCATAACTAGTCGCGAAATTAAATATTTCTTTAGAAAAATCATCAAGAAAACTTGTGCAAAAAATTGCTTTTGCACTGATTCGTTATACAATTATTTTATTTATTACGAAAATTGTATGAAATATATTTACACGATTCTATATACAACATTTACATTTTACTAGCATAACACAGACGCGCACGGTATTACTATTTTTAATTTAACGTGTTGTGTCAGTGAACACAATTTGTCATCGCGATGACAGCTAGTAAATATGTCTTACAAACCATATAATACACATATGAGAGATGTAAATAACACATAAAAATCAAATTCAAAAAATAGTGAAAGGGAATGGAAAAACAACACGTGACCAAAGTCATGTGACAGGGAAAAGAGTAAAAACGAGAATATTATATATATTATATATAATATTCTATATCTACATATAACACACACACACACACACACACACACACACACACACACACACACACACACACACATATATATATATATATATATATATATATATACCCTAATTACGTGACCAAAGTCAATGTCTCCAAGGTCGCGCGGCCGAG